AAGAGGCTGAGGAGAATATAATTGACCAACTTTTGTAGAAGAAAGTTTGAGTTATGCACACAGGCTTCTTTGTACATTTGCAAAGACTACCAGTACTGAGGGCCAGGGCACACAGGATGACTTACACACCCCTTTGGCAGTTTTTACGTACGAGGCATTTGGTGCCAGTAGAAACAAAGGGGCACTGAAAACAGCTCAATAACTGCAATAAAACAATAAATATGAGCCATGGCAAACCATGATGTGCATTCCTGTCCTTTTAAGATTGATTATACAAAGGTCAGTTTAGCAGACTACAGCAGGCAGACTCCCCATAGACTGGTGTTTTCATTCAGGCAATCCTGCTGCTTTGCTCTCAGGATGCAGCCTACGCTTGTGCAGAGTCTGCAGCTCGGTGCTTTTACAGCAGATATACATAAATTATCTAATGAGGTGCACAGTAACCAACCTCAGCTACAGACTTACCACTTGTCTGTTTATCCCCTTACACTGGTCAGAAGAGGTTTGTTAAGATCTAAATGGGATTATTTATTTCAAGAATAATGCTTTCTTACCATTTTATGTTTCTAGTCAACATTTGTATCAAAATCTATAGTATTTTTCCAGTATGTTCATAAATAACTTTTCTAATAATTCTATGGTCAGTTAATATGGATGAATATAACACCATACTACAAATTATGTTTTAATGAAAAGTTGGCACCACTTATACTTAATAAAGATTTTCTTAACTGAACAAAACATTATTTGCCAACCATGTTGATGATGAATATGATGTCAAGTCATCAAGTTAGGCATCAAATTCTCTCTTCAGCGTCTGAGTTGTTGTTCTGACTTGAGCAGGCATTCACATGCATTTTCCAACTTGGAAAACTCACTTTCTGATTTGTCTGGCACCACATGAATGCAGGGACTATTTTAAGTCAAGACAGAAGAATGTTTTCAGAACTTTTGCCCCATTCACTGCCCACTTTTATAACTCATCACTCAACTGTGCAACATGCATGACTGTGATTGGTCAAAACCTCATAGCAAAGGTTATTCTGCACAGTGAAAGTAAGTCTAAGGACACCTATATCAAACATATCATATTGAATCATTTGCTGGAAAGGAGGTTAAAGTACATATATTGATTTTACCTCTTCCAGCTGACAGTTTAACAAAACAGTTTGTGATGGCACCTGGAATCAACACGGATAATGTTTTCATACTTCCAATCTACTTGGAAAGCACAAAACCTTAGATTTATGGTCAATTGCTGACAGGTCAACATAATCAGAAGAAGAAAAGAAAATAAGAGGAAATCTGTATGGAAACTAGCGAGGGAAGATACACCGTACAGGGGAGCTAAGTGAAAAAGAGGTCAACCAAACTGGAGAAAATTAACACAATGCAGACACGACAGGTTGGGAGAGAGGAAAGTGCAAACAGAACAGACCTTACACAGGTGCTTCTGTTAGTTGGACAGCTATAGGGAATACTTATACAAAAAAATGTTGAGTATAAACTGAACAAAAATGTGAAGTTTGATTTGATTTATGATGGTTGAACAGGCTGAACTTGTTAAGTTCAATGTTCATAAGCTCATAAGAACTCATAAGCGCTCTCAATCTGAGTTACTTATTTTATAGCTGTATAACATCTGTAAGTCAACACATAGTGTCAACTCTGTATCTGTCACTGTTCGCCAGGTAATAAGTGGGTTACAGTTTAGTGAGTGGGTTGCTAAACCCTCCCCTTCATGCTGAGGTTTTGTCTCTGCCAAGTTTCTATTACAGATAACAACCAGCTCCCCAGACTTTATCCCCTTACTCATAGTACAGCTGCAGTGTTAACCTCCTAACTGCATTGGTTGTTTTCTAACTGGTTCAGCATCAAAAGCCTTTGGTCACAGAACAAGGAGTTGACTAAACCCTCAGGGAGCACGCAGCAGCTCAGAAAGAAAACACCATTGTTTGATTGACAACATTGATTAAGAGTGCCTGGCAAACAGCTTGATAAGTATATATTTTCTGAAGGCATGCTTTACAAATGCAACCAGCAGGAAGAAACTTCTCACCTTGTTCATATTCACAACTCCCCCCTTCACTTCTTTGTTGCCATGACACCATGGAGGCTGTAGTTCAGACACGACTTCCTTTCACTCTGCCTCCTGTGTGTGTGTGTGTGTGTGTGTGTGTGTGTGTTAGGATTTCACGTCATTATTATAGTAAATGTTTGTTCTTGAAGTAAGGTAAAATGAAGGGATATCAAATCACTCTCTGATGCATTCACTGCTAGACTGACCGTATGTTTTACATGTTCCTCAAAAAATAAATCTGAGAAATTCCTGTTGGAATCAGCTGAGCTTTCTATGGTCTATGATTACTTCTATCATCTAGCTTTAATGATGAAATGATGAAAACAGTTTATGGTTCAGTAAATGTTGTTTTCTTATTCCAAGAAGGTCACATGGTGTTTCACCAAGTGTTGCTTATGTAATCCCCACAGGAGAGTTTACATAATCCATTCTGCTCTCAGACCTCAAGGTTTCTGCAGGATTGTGCTCTGGGAGTGAGTGTTATTTGCTTACCTGAGAATTCCTCCATGCACACACAAACGCACACACATGAACATGGCCTTACAAACTGGAAAAATACAATTTCTTTCCTTTTCATTTGAAGCTGTCTTCCACATAGGAACCCATTACAGAGAGAAAAGGTGACATGTCGGAGCCATGCAGGAAGCCTGGCCTCAGTTCAGTGCCTCCATCTCTACCCCTGACGGAGTGGTGAGTGGCCCTCACTCACAGCTGTCCTGGACTCAGTCAGCCAAGCACACAGCTCAAACCTGCAAAACAACACAATAGGATGCTAAGATGCGCCTGGCAGTGCAATTTTCCTCCTTGAGGAGATAGAGGGACAGGGAGTTATTTAAATGCTAAACAATGTGACCTGTTGCCGCAACAGAAAACAGCTTCCTGGTGGGGTCGGTCATACAGGAAGTGATGTTTGAGGCTATTTAAGGAATGTGGGTAAATTTTTAAGAGGGTAAAGGGTTGATGGCAGCTGAAAATGTCATTCTATTGACTTGGTGCATATAACCATATATTGAGCTGTCTGCAATCAGGTCAATTTGAATGTGAATCTGCTGACATTGTTGAATTTCCAAGTCTGATTGATCATATAAAGGTTTAGGGATTTTGTTTAAAAGCATAAGGTGACTATGTAATGCAGTAGAAAGAAGTCCAGGTCATTTTACAACTGCCCCCTCAGCAATAGCTCGATAACAGATGTTGGGCTAGAGGACATAGAAGGAACTTTTACATTAAAAGATACACCTGTTTAGATAATGGAAAAATAATATGCTTGACACTGACAAAGTAGAGTACCTTCATCAGGTATGGCACTGATTTGGGTAGTTTTTAGTTTGAGTCAGTTCAGCTTCATCATAAGACAGAATGATGTGGATTCAGATCTTTTTGACAGGAGTTTCCTGGCTAGGGCAAGACTCACATAACATTTAAATATCTAAAAGATGTTATGTTTCGATGCATATTTTTAACTTGAAAAGTAGCACGACAGAGAGGGGAAATTTCAATCTGCATTTCTTTATTCTTTCAGGACACTGAACAATTTATGTCTGAAGTCACAATTCAAACTTCCAACAAACGAAATGTGCAACACTGAAATCTGAAGACAGTTATAACAGCCTGTTGTGACACAGTCCAAATGTTGACTTTAACTTAAGTCCTGCCAAGACAAATCAGTTGTCTGATAGGGTCTATGTCACCTCTGGCACCCCCTTTGGATTTGACCCTGGAGTAATTACATTGAAGCTGGCTCATATTGAGATGGATATGCATGCCACTGGAGCAATTTTAACAAAAACAGTCAACTACCGCACCATAGAGAAAGGAACAAACTCATTTTCAAATCAATTAAATTCTTTCAAAATCAAATTACAGAAGAAAATATGCTGTAACATGGACAATGTGGTCACGAGTAATTCACACAAGTTATTCAAAATGCCAGATAAAGCATAGTCTGACACTATGATGATAGATTCATTGCTCTAAGAAATAGGATGTGTTTGCTGAATTAACAAATGAGTGGAAAGGAACATGTGAGCAGAAAAATATGAAAAAGCTCCATCACACGCGACACTGTTACACTAATAGCGTGACAAAAACACCACTATACAAGTTTTCCATCTTTTTCCTGCCTGAAAACACTCGACTCTCCCTGATTTCTTACAGGAATTTTAACTGGGGACTGGTAGAAAAGAAAATCAGGAAAGTCTTTCTGTATACACACCCGCAAAATTTGGGGAATTTTGGGGTTCTTTGGTTCGTATGTGAAAACAGCTCAGGAAACCTTCTCAGTTAAGACAAGCCTCTTCTGAATGGTGTCCGGCTCTGTATCATCCTGTCAGGGTTACATGCTACTTTAACAACCCAGTCACTGCTTTTCATGACAGAAAAATGTCAAGAGTAGTCTAACTGATATATAGAGAGCCACATGACTGGGCACAAAGCAGACCTAATTTCATAATTAATTTTGTAGACATGTCTAAAAAACATCATGTGGACAGCTAGAGACCAGTTCAGCTTAGCAAATTCATTAAGCCACAGATAATCAACACAGTATTTCATAGAAGAAAAGAATTACAAATAAAAGTTTCCATATTTTCCCAAATCATACAAAGCACAGCAACAATATCCTCAAGAGTGTTTGGTATTAGATGTTCGTTCTTTCCTCTTAATGTAATCTTGAGTAAATATAGTGGCTGCCAGCCACTGTCATCTATAACTTGAGCAGCATGAGAAATGCTGATCCTCATTAAATATGACAGGCTTCCTGCACTATTGCAGAGCTCAATTAATGCTGTCTCTGCGCAACTTCATCAAATATGACGTGTACGGCTCAATGCCATATGGAGGGAAAAAGTGTTAAAGTAGGATTCATATACATTAAAAAGGGATGCATCGCCTAATAAAAAGGGGAAATGACAGTATGCGTGCCTTCTCATAGGCAATCTAAATGTAATCTATCATATTTTTGATGCAAGGTTTAAATTTAGATTTTACTGAAGTAAAGTGTTAAAAGTCTGCTGTGGAAATCAAATTTATGCTCTTGTGCTCTGTCACTCTGGTTGTGTGTGGGCCAAAGTGAGCTCCAGTGTGAAGACAGAGAGGAGACAGGATGTAGGCTGAGGAAAGCTGTGGTTTCTGCAGAGTGATATTTTGACCCTGCAAAACAAGAAACTTATTTTAGGCTGGAAAGGAAATGATAAACTACTATGTTGTCTCTGAGCTAGAAAATTACCTCCTTCATTTTTCTCACACCAGCTGTTATTTTCTCGACTAAAAGCAAAGGTAAAATGTGAAGTACATGTTAGCAGTATTTCCACTTCAGCAGAAGTATGTTTGTCTGGTTTATATATCTGCCTCAGTAGCATGGCACTGGTAGAGACATGGCTCATGTGATATTTCCTCAGCTTTTGTTATCTCTGTATTCTGGTCATTTAATTTTAATTTTATTTTTAACGCTGCAATTCTGAATATTCTCATTAACATTGGTTCAAAAGATAAGAAAAGTACAAAGGCACATAAAACTATTACCAAAATCTGCAGTCAACCGCAATTTAAAACTACATTTTACCATTATTTGGATAATTTTGGATCCCTTTTGCTAAATAACTGTTTGCTGCAGGCAGCAGTTATCAGTAAATAAAGCTCCTATGGATATACTGTTCACTCACTGCACTGGTAACCAGATTAAAGTAGTAAACACCCTCGATGATGGGTACTCATCATTTTGTTTTAATGTAGATCAACAATATTCTTTATATCAAAAGCTACTAATCAGTCATGTCTCAAGTGAAATCTGTTCTGCCCTCAAGCCTCTTGACTCACATTCAAAGTTTCACACCATTATCCAGCAGGTGGCAATGATAGGGCAACATCTCTCTCAATAAGGCATAAAAAGTAATGTCACAACAAAGTCTCATCCATTACGCCAGAGTAAGTTGTTGGACCTATGAAAAAGTTCAAGACTTAAGTCAAAGAGAGTGCTGTTACCGAGATCATTGCAGGTGAAGCTGAGAGTTAAGACACTTGGGGCTCTATTTTCGTGCTTCGCTGGCGGCGTGGCGCAGGTGCGGCGTAAGTCAGGTCCGCCGCGCCGACAAGGCGTTCCCAAGCACATTTTGGTATTTTGGTGAGTGGCGCAGCCCAGTGTAAATATCCCCCCTCCCTAACTTCCCCACTGGCGAACACGAAAATGTCACTGTGCCAGCTGATTCTGTCGACACCCCCCCCGCCACGCCACCACGCCCAGCTTGGCGGATCTCGGTGCGCCTCAGTCCACGAAAATACCAAACTGGCTGTACACTGGGCTCCGCCAGACGAAAATACCACTGCGCGGGGTCCGCCACCCTCCGCCGCGTCCCCGGCGGACACGAAAATAGAGCCCCTTGACATAATTGGCCAGACAGACAAACCAAATAGCATTTCAACAAGAGAGGGAGAAGATATACTCGGTCTCATTTACAGTGCTAGACTAAGGCTGCATTTACATGGGCACAAATAATCGGAATAAATTCCTGATCAAAATAAAATGCATCAAGTAAGCATGTCAATCGGAAGATTCTGAACCAATTCAGCTCAATCGGACAAAACTGTATTCCGTTCGAGAGGGGTGGTTTATCCCGATCGTTATTCCAAAATGCATCCACGTAAACACTTACTATGAACATTACTCTCTTACCTGACTTGGTCTTCACTCCACTTTTGCTTATTTATTAAGGTTAGTACAGGAGGTTTCACTATTAACACTCTCGCATAACAACCGCAGGTGCTATGTCTGCTCCTCCAGTAACATAACAAGGCGTACATACAGCGTAATGATGTCACATCTGCACACACAGTGCAACCTTTGACAGAGCAGTAAAATAAGTACGCAAGGCCGCCATCTAGTGACAACATTTAACAGGGGGGAAAACTCCTGTGTTGGATGGAGTGAGCCACTACCGCGTTTACTGACAGCACAAGCGTAAATACAACTCTTCTTCTTCTGCAGTTGTTTAAGCAAAATCAGACAACTCTGCGCATGTCCAAATGCTTCTTGTCTGAATAAAATTTGGTGCATGTATACACACGGCATGATGGAGTTATTTGATTTTGCACCCATATAAACAGTGGATTCAGATTATCCGATCCCTCAAATTTTTAATCGGATCAAGAAATTTTGCCCATGTAAACGTGACTATTGGCAGGTAGTGATGCTAATGTTCTGTTTTACTCCCCCTGTCTTATTTTTAAACATCATGATCAGACTGAGCATGGATTCAGACTGACATAACAGAGTCAAAGCACTTCTCAGAAAAAGCTGTTAAATCATGAACAAACAAGGGTCCCAATGCTGCATTCTATCAGTGAAGTAAATACATTCATTCAGTCTAGTAAACTGGTGTAGTATCTGTTGTTACCTTGTACGGAATACGCATATCTTGGATTTTGAAAATGCTCCAGCAGCCATGTCAGCATAGTTAGTATGGCTTGTAAATGAAGTAGTGGCATACCAGCATGAGCACAAGCAGGACGGATCCACAGTGTGCCATTGTTTACTTCCGCATATGTTGTTTTCTGATGCAGAGAAGAAAATTTAAGACATTATTTTGTCATTCAATTTCTTCAGGTGTCTTCTGACAGCATCAAGAGAGGGAATGAAAAGCAGTGGGAGTACTGAAACGTGTTTGTACAAACCAATACAGCTTTCTCTAACTGCATTCCCTCACAACATGAAACAGAAATGATGGTTAAATTGCTTCTCGATTCATTTCTCTAAACTGAGTGCAATTTGCAGCAAGTGTGACAAGCTGCAAATTGTGCAATCAAAAATGTTATTAAGCAATGCAGACAGGTAATCAAGACGGAGGAACTACACTGAGCTCTATTGTTAAATATATCCATCTCATACCTCCCTTTGTCTTAGTGCATTGACACACACACACACACACACACACACACACACACACACACACACACACACACACACACACACACACACACACACACACACACACACACACACACACACACACACACACACACACATTTGAGTACATGTGCAGAGAGCTCCAGTGCAACAGACGCACTTATCTAATGACCTTGTACACATAGTAAAGATATCCCCGTTTGACAGAGCTAATTGGTCGACGTGTCAGAGGATGTTTAGCGGCTTAGGAAATCACATCTGCCCATTGATTTCTCCCCACTACGCCCCCTCCATCAGACATTGTATTGCTTAATCCAGTCTACAACTCCATTGTTGTGAAGTCTCAATGGATTCTGAGGCAGGAGGAGGAAGCGAGAAAGCAAGTGAGCAGGAGGGAGATCGAAAGAAAAGAGAGAGAACAAGCGATTAAGAGGCACTTGGGACGAGGAAGGTAAATTAGAAACTGTATGTGTGAGAGAGAGCATCAAACAACAGTGTAATTGCAATAAGAGAGATCAGGGTACAGGATGGGGAATACAGCCCTGCTCTTCATTTGTGCTCAAGCATATTTAAAGGCAGTAGGTTGTCATGCAGCAGTATGCCTTCACATGCGACTGTGTCATGCCAGTCGTGTTGGTGCTGAGCTGCTGTGCCAGCTGAAGCGTGCCGGGTTGTGCTGTGGCATCTGCTCTCAGCTTTAAGCTTGTCTGCCCTCTGGTTAATCAGGAGAGTTTCTCTGGTTTTCTGTCTCTGAAGTGAACTCTCTGATACTTTTAAACCCGCTTTTATAGGGTCAGAGCACACACTCAAGCACAGAGACACGCACAGACTCAAAAGCACGTGAAAAACTTAGCCAGAAGGTTCAGATAAGGGTGTCAGAGCGAATGCACTGGGAAAAAAGGCGCTTTCTTATGTGAGAGAAATGATTAAATAGTTCACATTTAAAGGCATTTTTAGTAGAGTCATGCTGAAGTTGTTGTTGTTTTTGTATTGTTGCGACAATGTCAGTATAAAGGGTAAAGAGTTTAAGTCTGATTTGCTTTAGACCCTCAAGGCTGAAAAATGAAACTTGAGCAGAAAAACCACAGTTTCTCACAGGAAATGTAGACATTATATTCAGTGATGTGTTGTTTGACTTGTGCCCTGAATCATGACTTGACTTGGACTTTAACAGTATGACTTAGACTAAAAATGGACTTGAAATAAATTTTCTTATAAAGACTTTTTTATTGTTAATGTCAGTTTTTTTTTCCAATATAAAGCCTTGATCATTTACATATTCAGTTCAGAGTCAGGGCTAACACGTTTACCAGCATGTTCTTTTACGTGCCATCTTACAAAGAGACGCTTTGAATTGTAATTTGGCCTTGAGTCGCTGCACCCAGAAAAGAAAGTGAGATGCTAAAGTTACCTGAGGTGAGAACTATCTGGTAAGGTCCTCCTTTAAACCTGTTACTAGTGGCTGAGCTGCAGGTATTTTTGAGGTTGTCAGGAAAATGCAGTGAGCTCACCACAGCAGAGTCAGTAGCAGCGTTTACATGGGCACAAATAATCGGAATAAATGCCTAAAAACTTTTCCACTCTGGTGATGGCTTTTGGTGAATTTTGGTAAAATGAGCATTCAAGTTTTTCTCATCTGCTAACATCGTATAGAAATCCACTTTACTATGGCAGCCAGTATGGCAAATGCACCCATACACAGAGTCTCTTCCAACTGCCAGCACAGTTGCTATGGAAACAAAATTTGTCTGGTTCATAGAAAATAAAGACTTACTTCTCCTTTTGACCATGGCATGTTGGCCGAACATGTCAGTCCTCTAATTGCAGCTACAGCTGTATCGTGATCTTTGGTTATTCAGAATTTTGGTGAAAAGTGGTGAACAGTCTGAATCACTGATTGATTCATCTCTGTAAAAACACCTCTATGGCAGCAGTGTTCTGGGTGATGCCAACTATTTTGTTTCTTTCTTTCTTCAACTTCTAACTTCAACACAGGGTTTTCAAGGTGTGTCTATTGCTCATTCACAAACTATCTAAACTGATTCACTAAAGCTAAAACAGCAACAGGCATTAATGACTCCAGCCCACTTGTGCATAGTTATCTGTATTCCTCAGATGTTTCCTGTTGAGCTTCAGCTTATTGATCAATGTGATCACTGACTCACACGTAGAGAGGGAAAATTTTACTATTCTACTTTTGTGAAAGTCCTGCTGCTTGTTTTCTTTCGATGACCACTTCTCGTGCAGCGAAGTTTCTATCAAGCTCCCTGGAGATTTGTGCTGGGTCACACAGGATCGCAATGTTAAAGCAGCTCTCTGCTCCAGACTCCTCACATCACGGCAACAATGTTAACACCATCCCTCACCCCATCCCTGTTGGGCTCTCAAGCATCAAGTAAAGGTTTGGTAATATTTCAACGTGTGCGAGCAAACAATGTCTTTTACGTCTTCTTCTGCGGATACAAACGATTTCTGCCGACTTTGCAATGTCAACTGCAGAATTAACGGCGTTCTGAATGAGCAGCGCTTTGAAAAGTCCCGCAGCATGTGTAGACGTAGACATCAACATCTACACATGGACCAATCAGGGGCTGCCTTTCCCTGTTGTCCTGGTCACAGTGGAAACACAGTCACTGATTGGCCCGGTTATTTTCTGATTTCTAATACACGCTCCCAATGGGCCGAAGTCTAGACTGTTGTGGGAAGGAACGGCAAGTGATTCACGCAACTGGATGGCCCAGCCAGGCTAGTGGCAAACTACCTCAGTAGTCACAGCTGCTCTGGGGGAGACCGACGGAAACGTGGCTGCCATTTTTACGCCTACAGCCTCTCCGATTACCACCACACAACACTCACAATTATACAGCAATGGTTTAAGGTTAGCAAACAAGCTAACCTTTTTCCTTTGTTCAACAAGAAACACAAAGTGATATCAACACACCCATACCATAAAAATGTCTTTATTTTCCACTTTAAATAAAGTTACAAATTGTGTTCCTTTATATAAGCTGCCAATTAATATATAATGCCTTGAAAGTATGCCCAATACTCATTATGGCTGACTGTCGTTCCCTCGCAACAACAGCTTTTGTTGTTGCTAACAGTGCAGCTAGCCCTAAGCAATTAGTAACCCAAGCTATTCCACCTTTTCTAGATGTTTTTTTCCAAATCAAAGGGATGAGGAAAACTGCAAAAACATGTGTACACCTAAGAAACATGTGCTTCTTGTTACCTTGATTAGGCTGCACTAAACGCTTAATGGCATCCAAAGCCCTGTTGAAAATAACAGCTTGAGGTGTGAGAGCAAGGACTGAGCAGTCACACATTTGGGTCATTTATGGCGTGTACTGCAGGTTGTCTGCACAGACTCCCAATGGCATGGCTGCTCTCACAGGTACTCTGCCTGGTAACAAAGTGTCTATGCATGTTTGTGTGCGCCTGCTGCAGAGCTGCTTAGACACATTCCTGAGCTCTCTGTCACTGTGAAAGGCATGAAGTCACCGTGCATCAATCAACAACCTCCTTTGTACCTGCAGTGCTGCAAACTGCTGAGACTGCACTGAATATTTCGCTGAACACCATCCTTAAAACTCCCTCCAAAAACTCACTTTATGCATGTGGTCTTCAAACAAGCCTGGCTCATTTGTTTCCACTAACTTAACTCAGCCCAGAGACCCCCGCTGCTCCCATTTACTTACTCTGTTTTTCCCAATAAAGGCGTGAATAGTTCAGAGTGAGGGGTGAATCATCTGACTCTGCATGTTTCCTTTGAGATAATATGCCATGGTTATACCAGGAATTTCTTGTCTTCAGAGAAGCGAAACAGGAAGCGGAGAAAAGTAACAAGCTCCCTGAACTGTACTGCTGTCCAATTTCAGGGTCAGAGGACGAATCACATGAAATATTTTGGCAGAAGATTATTTCTTTGTGGTGCACAGACACACACCAGATCCATGAAACTAAGCGCATGGACTCAGCTGAAAGATTCTGGAGTTGTTTGCGCCCTGCCTTTGTATGCATGTGAATCTACCCCCTGCATCCACAAAAATGATTTATCCTTTGATGACCTTTTCCTTTTGATCTGTGCTCTGCAATATTTTTCTCCTGTACAACAAAAAGCCACAGACATGATTGATAATGCATGCATGCACTGCCGGCTGGCTGCTGGCGTATTGCTTTGATCTCCGTCAAAACTGAATGAGAGGAGCTGATAAAATGTAGGGCAAACCTTGTTCTGCTGGGTTAAAGGGAACTGGTGCTGCTTGGAACAAATGGTGAAACCCACACAAACTTACGTATGAAGTCTTGGAAATCAAAGCTCTTTTCGGATGTGACTGAAATTATGTTCTCCATCACGCTCCTAAGGGCTGCACTGGCCTCGCTTTCACCTCAACGGCAACTGCACCAACAACCTCTGCCTCTCATCTCTGCTAAAGGAAAGGAGAGCAGGATCTACCATGAGATTACCGAATGCACACATCTGCTTTTGAAATCGCTGCATATAGACTGCATCTAAAGTTTTGTGACAGCTTTGGCCTTTCCATAAGGGGCTTCAAGAGCAAACAGTCCTCGAAAGACCTGCTCACCGACTCACAGCGTCTCTGATGGGCTCTCTTTTTCTCTCTCTCCCTCTGTCTAACAGTGCAGCTAGAACATGCATGTATTATTCATTTAGCAACTAGCAGGATGTGGGGCCTTGTCAAGAAGTGAACCCACCACAGCGGTGAGAAGAGGGAAGCAGAGAGAAGCGGTGGAGGGGGATGGGAAAGAGGAAGAGAGAGGAGAAAGTGAGAGTGACGGGGAAAAAAGGAAGATGAAGGGATGTTTTGTGTGGTCAGCCAGAATCTGTGGTTCAATGCACGGTCAACAATTTCCATCAAAATAAAGATTAAGATCTCATGATTTATGAAGGATTTTATACTGACCCTCAAGAGAAACACACCAGCCTTCAAGGGAGGTTTGATTGCAGCACTTAACACTCTTCACTTTTCGTCTTTCATTTTTATGAAATTCGACCAAACCTTGTTTTCCTTCTAAGCTGTTTGCCCTGTTATACACTGGTCTCATTTTATTCTTGTTTTAATGTCACCCCATCTGGTATTGCAAAGTTATATTAAAAGCAGAGGGTTTATTATCACTGCATTTTTAGTATCGTTGAAGTTCTGCACATCTTACCTCTCTTTCGTCTGTGAGGCAGACAGCTGGGACATGGAGGCTCCAGGCACCTCTCTTGTTTGTAATCCATCCATATATACAGAGACATTTTTGGACAACAATAAATCCATGATAACAAAATAAATACTCAAGCCTTCATGTGAGTATTTAACCATTTTTCTACATTAAAGTGACAGTAAGCCCTTTTATAGGAATTTGGGTCATCGTGTGTCACTAACAGTATTACGATTCCAACACACAACTAGCAAATTAAAAGCAAATCTTTACAAACTTGTCTGGAAGTCTGGACTTCTCTGCTCAGGCTGCTGCCCCTGCGACCCGATCACGGGTAAGCGGTAGAAGATGGATGGATGGATCTTTACAAACTTATAGCTGTTAGTATGTTAAATGGTGAAAATACTGACATTTTTACAGCTCTTTACTGTTTATACAATAGCTTCTGTTTTTCTTTTACTCTTTTCACCTTTTTTTCTTCTATTGAGTTTTTCTTTACCACCGGTTTCCTTTCTTCAGGGTTAAAGCATGTTAACTGTGTGCAAAACACTCAGGCTGGTTTGGGTCCAGATGCAGCGCATGCATGACAGAGACAATCAATTCCCAACTTCATTGTCTGGATTTGCTGACCCAGCTTTGAGAAATCAACTTAATTAACTGATCCTTTGAGTGACACAGTTGATAATACTTGGTGCGAGGGGCTTATGCTGTGTTCCAGTTATACTCGGAAGTCGGAATTTCTGAGCTCCAAGTTGGAGAAATTCATCTGGAAAACCCCCCTGAATTTGAATTTTCAACTCAGAAAATTGGACGATCCTCACCAACCCCATCTTGACGACAACATCATAATCCAAAATGGCAGCGCAATGCACAAACAGTTAAGAGTAACAGTGAAAGCTCTGGTAATGTATGATTTATTAGCACTTCTGTTTTGTTTTTGTGAAATTAAATAAGTTGTATATGTTGTTCTGCCCTGCGTCTAACTGTGAACTCTGTGCTATGGTGTTTGTAGAGTAAAATACTGTGTTATGCGTTGTTTACAACTGAAATTGCTAACAACAACTAACAACTGCCAACAACCGCTAACAACAACTGACAACGGCTAACGTCAGCTGACAGTTATAAATAACAGCTAACAATGGGTAACTGTAGGCGTCCATCTTGGTTTCTGACTTGTTACCTAGAACGCCGTCAACTCGGGTGTTACGTCACTCCCAGCTCCGACATACAACATTTTTCCCTTTGGATAGCTCATACCGCCTACTGCTACTTTAAGAAAAATACAGCTCAGTCACTCCTTGTGTATAGGCCAATCACAGACCATGGTCAGCAGCTGTTCAAAAAACATCAGAAATATATTAAATAATCCGACTGTCATCAGTGAATATCATTATCACTGTAATGCACACAACCAGTTGGAAAATGAACTGTAGTTTTGTTCCGTTTTTACACAATTCATTTGAAATCTTGACACTAACGTTCACCACAATTAATAACAGAGGACAAACAGCCAACATTTGTGCCAACCGTTTGTCTAAGTCACTTCCAGTAATTGCGTTAAGTGTTGCATGAAAACACTCTAATTCATCAGAACTTGTATCGCTTTTTAAGGCTCTGAGGAATCAGGCATTTTTAGGCTGCAACAGTCACAAAAAAAGACTGCAATATCCTGGAGGGAGTAATGTTTCATCACTTTTCTGTCAAACATGGAACTGAACCATCAACATCTCTTTGCACTTTGCCAGAGCCCCCTCAGCCGAAAGCAATTGCTCTCAAACTTAAGAGTTGTTTCACGTCTTGTATTGGTGTTGCCACGGCTCAGTCCAGGTGGAATATTTAAACTATCAGCTAGTTTTAGATTGGTTTTTCTCCCTTTGCCAATCTTGTTCGGCAATCTGACTGGCATTTTCTTCTCTCAGAGGCTGTCACTCAAGAGACATTTGTGGTTGAAAGAGTTGCAACACTCGGTCAGAAAGAGCCATTACTCTGTAGATGGACTTGCAGAATCCCTGTAGAGATGAGGCGCTAGGGTGGAGAGGGGATGACAGAGGAAAGAAAGTGAAGACAAGGTTTAGACACTTTGTGGAAGGCACGGAAAAAAAGGTGGCAAAGGGTCAGGTAGAGGGAGGCAAGGAGAGGGTGGATAGAAGTGATGAAAAATTATGCCCAAGGGAAAAGGAAAATTAAAGATGGACTGTACACATGCAGGTTTAAATGGGCCACATCTCAAACGCCCCGAGGATGATCACATGTGTTCGTGCGCAGTGAGTACAAGCTCAAAAGACTCAGTGGTGTAGGATGGAAGGGACATAAAGGCCGTGTAGTTGACATTTGGGAAGTTTGGGGTTGATTAAGGTCAGTTATTTTGTATTCTGCTGTTGGGCTGTTATGCATTATTCATTTAAACCTAATGCATACTATTACATGTTTTTTTTTCTACTGCAAAAAGTATGCAGCCCTTTGCATACTTATCTAAGCTGCTTAAAGCTCCTGTGAGAAGTTTTTAGTTCATTATGAAAGTGACAGGAATTAATTCTGATGCCTCTATATGACCTAGAAAAGCAAATGAGGAATCAGTTAAGAGGACAATGGTGCTACAAGTTTTTTTCATATATTTTCAATGGTAAAGATCCACAGAGAGTGAGTCTTGTAACTGGTAAAAGAAAGCAGGATGAGATTTTTTACATTCACTTGCTGAGAGCAAGATCAGTAAGGAGATGAGATGCGCAGCTTTCTCCAAAAGCGTCACTAAGATGGACACAAAATAAAGTCCCTGATATAATGCCGGCATAAATATACTGATGTTATTGCATTTCCCTTCGAGGATAAATAAAGTTCTTATTAACGTTGTGTCAGGTTGCTATGTGCTATATAAGAGATTACATAAATGCAGAAGAGACACAGCAAATATAAAGGAAAAGTAGAGCTCAAACAAGATATCGCCACTTGTGATCAGCCTGACAGACGACATTTAGACAACAGGGTTAGCACTGCTGTGAGTAAAGACAGGGCCCAGGGGAGGGGCCGACCCCAAACCATGTGGCCCACCGTGACCCATTGCCTCTGAGAGCGAGGGCACGTCAGCACAATCACATTATGCTAGATAAATGCCCAGCCTGGGCCAAAATATGTGTGGCTTCTTTATAGCAGAAGGCTGCCACATGGCCCAGTTTAGAAAAAAGCAGTGACTTGTGACTCTGAAGATAACACTGGGTGTATGGGGCAGTATGAATGTGTGTGTGTGTGTGTGTGTGTGTGTGTGTGTGTGTGTGTGTGTGTGTGTGTGTGTGTGTGTGTGTGTGTGTGTGCGGCAGCAACACATGGTTATTATGCCCTGGGGTGAGGCTGAAGACAGCTGCACAGTCTTAAACAGAGGAGAATAGAAAGAGCCTGATGAATATGATTTCTCAATACTGGACGCTTATAAAACGATGCTTTGTGCTGTAGTTATCTTTTTAGATATGATAGCAGTGGTGCAGTTTTAAACTTTTAAACTGCTATTGGAGGCAAAGAAATAAATGAACTCTAATCAGATTAAAGATGTGCTCTGTTCAAAAAGTTTTTTATTTTTTCAAGAAAGTCAATAGTTGGACAAGAATATGCTTCATATAACACAGGAGAAGTGACTGACCTCAAAATCATTATTCATGTTATACTCTCGGATGATAAGTAGTCTGAGTGGAAGCTAACCTGTTCAGATACAACATACCATATGTATTTTCACTGTCTCAAACTGAATCACAGCGTTGCTGTCACAGCACCATTAGGTCTCGGTTGTTACCTTACCTTTATGGATTATAGTTTCATGTGCTTATCTGGTACTGGCCCTGACTCAGTACATGCTATCATGACAGACAGACATTTCAACACTAGTGTCCAATCAGAACTGAAAACAGTCAGTCTGCTGTTGTGTCAGTCTTCTCGCTTATACCTGGGATGCGTCTTTTTTCCCCCGGAAAGTAGCAAAATTACATTGCGCTTGATATGTGTATTCAGGCGCATTAAAATTCACCTCCGAATATTTCGTAATTTCGCATTGTATATGTGCATCGTTCCTGGTCTTGTAAGGACCTTTACTATTCACAATGAAAGACTGACCAAAAATAGTTAAACAGACATTTCTTCTGCTGAAACGGAATAAAACTGGTTGATTTTCTATTAAGCTTGGGCTGCGTGAGTGTATATTGGTAAGACATGACCTCTAGCACTGTCAGTACAGTACAGGGCAGGAGTGTATATATGGTGTTTTTTCTGCATGTGGGAGGTAAACCGCAGCTGAGTCGAGGTGAGAAGCTTTAAAACCCTTCAAAGTCTCTTCAATCAACAGCTCCCTTCAGAACAAACTGGTCTGCTTTCAACTGTTAATCCTGCCCTCAGAGTAAGTGAGAGTTTCTGGCATGTTGGCAGGTGTCATTACCCATCAGCCCACAGGGGTGAGGAATTCACAAACAGGAAGTGATAGTCTTACACTTCTTCCCTCAAGGCTGCTTATCCCTGTCAGTTTTGCAGGAGCGGCGTTATTATTATTACAAAAGAGCTCGTTTGTTCATCGGCTACGGCAGACACAGCTATTACTTTACACAGTTACCGCATTTTTCATAACCTTTTTCTAATGCAATAACCCAGTCTCTTAATCTGGAGGAATTTCATGTATTTAATTGTACTTGTGTAGATTTTAGGGGGGGTTTAATACGAAGTTAGGAGAAGCACTGAGAGATTTCCCTTGAGGTAGGGCTCCAGGCTGGTGGAAGGAGTGCTGCTGCTCGATTACCCCAGCTGGAGAGAAGCATTTGTGGGTACGTGAGGAACCGGGGGGAGCCCCCTTCATGGGCACCAAGGAAGAGATCTATACTCTGGGAATAAGCTAATCCCATAATGACTTCCGAAGATGGTGCAGTCGGATCAGCTTGCTTAGCTCGGATAAGAATGAGGAAGTGAGGGAGAAAGAGGGATAGAAGGGTATGAGAAAGAGGAAGGAGAGCTGGATAACTCTGGGCTGTGTAATTATACCTGAGGATGAGATAAATGTCACTTTAAACACACACACACACACACACACACACACACACACACACACACACACACACACACACACACACACACACACACACACACACACACAGGTAATGTATAGACATTCCAGACCTTGGGCATTTCTCCACAAGTCTCCAACTGAGTGAGTGATTTCTCTAAACTGCACCCTTGGGTCCTGTGTATGACCGTGAGCTAGCCTGTCAGGGAAGAGGGAGACACACATTTGGTTAACTTCCCAGTGCAGAAAAACACACACACACACACACACACACACAGACACCAGTGATCCAGGGAGTGTGGGCCCGTTACAGTGTGAGAGGGAAATGGGTGATAAAATCCTCATTTTCCTTCATTGCTGGGTCGTTTGTCTATGTCGTGCAGGCGGCTCACCAGTCGTGGAAATTCTGGCCGGCACCCGAGAGCTGAGTCATGTTAGGCGTTCATCGATCATTTGACTGTTTACTGTTGCTCTCGCTCTTTCATTCTTGCTGTTGCTTCCTCTGTCCAGCTATCTCTCGCTCGCATGGAGTCAGTGATTAGCCTGTGAAGTTTGACCCACCTGACTTTTTTATTTCTCTCCTCTGCCCTCAGGTTTTGTTTTCTGTTAATAAATATAGAAATCATACAGCCTGGGGGGATATTTAGAGTTGTTTTTCATAAATTTGTGGAAGGGATCCACTTTTCTCAAGGTTTGTGATCTGATATCAGGTTGGGATGAAGAAACAAGTTTGTGTTTGTTTTTCAGAGATTGGGCTGAAGTTAGCAGTATACACTGAAATAGCACAGTAACTTAAAGGGATATTCTGGAATAAAATTAAGTTATGGTCAAACACACGATAACACCGAGTCAGACACCCCCTCGGAAATCAGACCAGGAATGATCATAAATGTTCTTCCTTGAGCTGCGTCACCCCACAGCAGTCTGTACTGGATTGGCCCGAGGTCTCGCTACAAACAAACGGCTGCTAGAAGAGAGTAGGTGAGTTGTGTTTAGTCTCTTTGTTTAAGAAATTAGGCAAAGTTAGAGAGATGTCAGGTGGCTAGTGCTATGGCTCGGACCCTATATGTACTGTAGATGAAGTTAGGTGCTGTTCTGAGCATTATTTGTGGCTATAGAGTGGGGTTTTGGTTGAGGTTTGTGTCTGGCTCCTGAGACCGCTGTGTATTGCTATCGTGTGGTTGTTACTAAAGTTGGTATTACTAGAGAAGCAAGCAGTCGGCAACATTCATCTCTCGAGGGGGTGTCTAGCTCGGTGTTGACCCTAACTCACCCATCAACTTGTTGTGAAATGTGAGCTCACGGGTAAAACTTGTGGGTTTCACACTGGCCAAGTTTCTATGATGACAAGAAAGCATACTGAAATGTAAGAGGATGCCGTGGGTGAGGATTCATTTTTGGGGAACCTTATGGCTGCAACAATTTGAAATCCTAAATATGTTCAATGTTTACAATTATATATCCTGTAGACAGCTTGGGCAAACACACTGTAGATCCTCACATAAAAAAAAAACAACCCACTGAGAGGCAAGCTGACTGAAGAAGGACGCACAACAAATGCAGCCATGGCAACGACAGTAAACACAAAATGGAGTGGATGTACCATGGCAGTTATTTTGCCTGAAGAGCTAAGGCTTTCTGCCATGTTTGTGTAATCTAAAGCCTTGTATAGACCATGAGAGAGGTTGTTGTGTAGGGGAGCCTGTTGGCCTTACCATTTCACAAAGAGACAGTTAGATCAATCATTAAATGCCGTTATGTGTAGGGTCTCTCACATTTTCAATATCTGTCAAGATGTAAAAGGATTTGTCCTTCAAATGAATACAATAATCACTATTATATTTAGAGTTAACTTGAGAAAATAGTACAGGGACAAAATGTAGAAACATATAAAAAACATCTCTACAAATATGACAACACCCGCACAGCATTTTGGAAGAGAGATGGTGAATGCAAGAGAAAAAAAAAACAGCTCAGAAATACACTGCCAGCCTGTCTGACTGTCTAACACATTTCAGGGATTCTTGGAAACAGTTGCCAAAGTCGCCTCTCTGCCTTGTCACATGCTTTTGGTCACATTTTTGGGATTTTCTCCCAAAATTTCTGATCAAATTGATGAGAATGTTTGCTTGTGGTTAGTCCATTTCCATCCATTTGTTCTGTCTAAATCCCAACATAGTATTCACTGAGTTGGATTCTATCACCGGGCAGAAGTATACAGTATATCCTTGCTATTGTCTTAGCTAAACAGATGTAATACTCATTTTTACAAGAAAATTGTATTTTCCAAAACAGCAGCATGGCTAATATACTTTTTTGACCTGCAGAAAACAACAATCCAAAATATAACTCTAGATGATTTGGAGGTGATTGATGACAGATTAATAAACCAAGGATACTAAGAGGGGCGTTAAAAAGAAAAAAAATCTGTCAACATTTATGGTCTCAATCTCACAAACCTCTCCCTCACACACAAACACACACAAAATCTAACACACTTACACTCAAAGACTCTTACTGGAATCCTGCAAATTGAGAGTGTCTGTGTATGTGCAGGTGAGTGTATCTTCTATCCAATAATCTGTGTGTGTGTGTGTGTGTGTGTGTGTGTGTGTGTGTGTGTGTGCGTGTGTGTGTGTGTGTGTCAGGGCCAAGACTGAATACCTGTGCTGTTCAGCTTGTACAGGATGACTCAGCAGCATTCAGCCCCCACGGGAACACACACTGCCTGTTAGCGCTCGGCTAATAAGACGCCTGCTTGAGGTGATGCGTCACCATCCCACCTGAGCGCTGCAGAGAGGAGGAAAGAGAAGGTGAAAGAGAAATAAAGCAAGAAAGAGAGAGGGAGGGAAGAGATGCGGATGTAGCTATTAGAGAGAGAAAAGTGTCTTGAAGATGAGTGCACCTGTCAAGCTACTCTTATATTCACTCACTCACTCTCTTGTAAATGTTTATGGCACAAAGAAACAGATAATTTTGCAACCGTAAATACACTTTATATTGTACTATAATATGTCTATCATACGGTTTGCTGTGGGTTTATTGAGAAGTCCTTTATTACTATAGTCTACTCGATTTAAAGTGAAAGTGCAGGATTTTGTTTCATTCCTGTCCAATTAATCACCATACTAAAACAGCCAAAAGCAAAGATAGGTGCTGAAGTTAGGTGCTGTTCTGAGCATTATTTGTGGCTATAGAGTGGCTTTTTGGTTGAGGTTTGTTTATGGCTCCTCAGACTGCTGTGTGTTGCTATCTACGGTCATTACTAAAGTTGGTATAACTAGAGAGGCAAGCAGTCAGCAACATTCATCTCTCGAGGGGGGGTCTAGCTCGATGTTACGGTGTGTTTGACCCTAAATTAATTTTACGCTAGAATATCCCTTTAATTTGCCTGATTGAGTTATAACTGTAGCCTGACTTGACTGTTCATCTTAACAGATGCAAAAACAGCCTAAGGAGCTTCTTCCCCTTTGTGTTGGGGTCCTGCTCACCCTGTCAGGATTCTAGTTCGCACAATACTTCCATCTAAGGTGTTTTATTTAGATAAAAATAATTACTAGAGATGCGGGAAGCAAACAACTTTCGTATCCTAGAAATATCATATATCAATGTCTGGTGTTGATACTTATATATGGATGTCTAGGAGGAGTGGAAAACTACATATCACTGATTTGGCAGTCAAAACTGTAGATGAGTGTTCAAGACACTTTGTTGAACGGTAGTAGTCTCAGCATTGTGGATTTAGAGGAATTTCTTATTAAGTACAGTACAGGCCAAAAGTTTGGACACATCTTCTCATTCATTGCATTTTCTTTATTCTCATTACTATTTCAAGTGTAGATTCTCAGTGAAGGCATCAACACTATGAATGAACACATGTGGAATCATGTGCTTAAGAAAAAAGTGTGAAATAACTGAAAACATGTTTTATATTTTAGATTCCTCAAAGTAGCCACTCTTTGCTTTTTTGATAGCGCTGCAAACTTTTGCTGTTCTCTCAATGAGCTTCATGAGGTATTCACCTGAAATAGTTTTTACTTCACAGGTGTGCCTTGTCAAGGTTACTTAGTCACTAAGTACTTCTGTCATTAAGAGTAAAGGGTGGTTATTTTAAAGAAACTAGAATATAAAACATGTTTTCAGTTATTTCACACTTTTTTTATAGGTACAAAATTCTACATGCCTTCAGTGATAATCTACAATGTAAATAGTCATATAAAAAATTAAGAAAAGACATTGAATGAGAAGGTGTGTCCAAACGGAGTATGGAGTAATAAGTCCTTGCAGGATGTCCACTGATCAAGAGATGCGGGGAGCCCTCATAAAATGGACAGGCTGACACACGCCACACTCACACGTGCACACTGACACACATTAACACAACCACTGCCATTTTGTATAGCCCACTGGCGATGTCTAGCACTTCCTTGGACTATTTTTTTTTTCTTTTCGCGTATGTGAGAGCATGTGTGAACAGCGCACCATAATGTGCGAGGTGGTTTGAGATCAGATTGAAGATGACTATTCATAGCTCAGACGTTATCCAGCTATCCAAGTATCTAGTCCAGCAAGGCACACACCCAAGGAATTTGTTCACATTGGCCTCATTCTCACTGCAAAGAAAAGGAGAGAGAGAAAAACACATTTCAGTGTAGCTAAAGAACAGTTCAAGTTTGTTGGAGAGCGAGTTGCAAAAATGATAACCCCAGAGATTCCTAAACCAAAAGGAGACACGGCAGCAAGACTGCGTGACAGAGAGAATCTGTGTTTATCTGACCTGGACATGCGTGTTACAGTGGCACAGGTATTCATAACCCCAGAGTGAGATGTCACATTTTGTTTTTTTCTAAATGATTTTTTCTTAACGCCAGTTCTGTTGTCTTGTTTGTGTTACTGTCCCGTTGAAAATCCCTCTAACCACAGCTGGTTCAGCATCCACTTCCAGAACACTGAGCTCTGTTTTGCAGCAGGAATCTGGCTTTTGCTGTGCTGGTTGTAGCTGTAGGGAGTTGAAATACATGACCAAATCCCGCTTTTGTCTTAAGTAGTTACATCGTTCTTCAATTTGAAAATTCGTTCAATAACATACAGCCATGGTTGCACCAAAATGAATAGGAAAATATACTAATATATCAAGTGGAATACAGGTTAATATTTCTAGCTAATTTGAGCAACATACTGTACAACATACTGTATTTATTGGGTACATTGCTGCTGTCTATGCCATTTTCTTTGCTTTTAATGTTAAAGTTCATGTATGAACTAAGGTTCAGGGGCAAGACCACACCTTCACTACACCATCAATCACCTGACTGGCCTAATTATATACAGCCATCCCACTCCACTCTGTTTGTCTGCCACCTCTCTATGTCTGCCTCTCTCCTATCTCAATCCATTTCAGGTGCAGTCTGGGTTGGACTAAGTTCGGGCGGAACAACGCCTGAGATAGAACCCCCATCCTGAGCGTCTCCCTGCTGGGCCTCTACAGAACCTCCCAGAACAACCAGACATTCAACAAAACTTCTTATTAGCCTCTTCATCCATCACAACATACATACTTCAGACAAGACATTACACAATAGTTGTGGCGTGGTCATTGCTATTGAATGAGCTCACAGGAGCTGAAAGACTTAAAACTGTGAGGATAAAATCTGCAAGGTTACAGGAGCTGAAATGGACATGCATCCATACATTTTCCATTCACAGTTTTCCTGTGATAGCAGGTTGTTTCTGGTTTTCAAATTTAATCAAGCTGTTTTGAGATCTTAGCTTATTCATCTCTATTTTTTGAGATAACAACACTAGGTTTCTAACATTTATACATATTTTCTTGTTAGATTGAGATAATGTAGAAGGTTTTTTTATTATGAAGAACATATTAATGTCATGATCTTTTAATAAGGGGATCTTTTCTTTCAATCTAGAAATCAAAACCGTTGGCAGGTCACTGTTGTGAGCCAGACCAGGACATGCCATGCTGCCAATGCACACACTGAGATAAGTTAAGCCTATTTTTAAAAATTATTTTGAACTTTCAAAACTCTGGGGATATGAGTTCTGTTGATGGTGAAGTCTCAAAAAAAGAACTGAAATTAACTTTTTATTACAGGCAAACAGAGTGAATAAAATATATCGACACGCATCTACCCAGAGCCTCTTCAGTAGGCTCTGGATAATACTTTATTGCAGACCTGTATCAGCATAGACAAAGCATATAAAATAGAAATACAATACAGGGATGGCTAAAAAGTACTGATAAAACATCTACAGTTCACACATTCACAGTAATTAAACACAAAAAGATATTTGTTCCAACGTTTCCAAAAACAAGAGAAATACCTTGTTTCACTTAATGGAGGCTGAGTGAGCTCTCTTCTGACTGAATTTTCTGAATCAATAACTGGACCCAAAAATTTAAACCTAAAATTTTTCACAACTGCATGGAATGTCAGGAAAGTTTTAAAAACAAATATGAAACTTGCCCTCGTCTATCTCGGTCATTTGAGAATGATTCGTCATGCATCTTTATAAACAACCTTTTCATTTTAGCTGTACTGTAACTGCACCACAGACGAGTAAAATGAGCCAAATGAGAATTTATGTGCCCCACAATTATTTTTTAAGACAAAAAAATTTGTTACTTACAAAAAATTATTATAGGGCCACACTGAGAAAAAATGTTTAAAGACTTTGAGACTAAGGTCATAAACAGGTTAATTTGAGGGTAAAGTCATAAATCTATGAGAATAAAGTCATTAATTTATGCAGCTCTATGACTTTATTTACTTTATGGCTTTACTCTTGTTGTCATGACATCTTCTGTTGATTTAGTTTTTCACTGGTTTTGTTATTTGAGTATATTTTCTGTGTTTTCCCTTGTGTTTCTGTTCCCTATTGTTCCTGTTCCCCTGAAGTCCAGTCTTGTGAGTTTTCAGTTTCTGTTCTCTGTGTTCAGTTTTTCTGTCACGCCACGCAAGGTTAAACAAAGAAAAAGACCCAAATGGAGAAAAAAAAGGGATTTTTTTGAAAGAAACTAAAAGAAAAGCAACAAAAACTTGAAAATGTCCAACCAAGAATCCAAAGGGCAAAATCCAACGAAAGACACTGGGGCAGAAAAATCTCATGGAGACTCACTGGGCAGACAAACATGCTCTGACACACAAATCAACATACTAACAATGCACCAACTAAGACAAAGGGGAAGACAAGGGCTATAGTTGAGCAGTTGAGACACACGTGAAACTCATGGGTGATTTTCAAAGGAAGGGAAACTACGGAAGCAAAACCAGATTAAAAACACAAGAAATCAATTTCTACAAAATCAAACAGTAAACACTAAAAACTGAACACAGAGAACAGGAGGGAACAGGGTCAAACACAAACTGAAAACTCACAAGACAGGACTACAAGGGAACAGGAAGAATAGGGAACAGAAACACAAGGGAAAACACAGAAAATACACAAAAACAAAACCAGTGAAAAACTAAATCAACAGAACATATCATGACATTTCTAAGTTTAAGTTTTTTGTTCTCATATATTTATTATTTTATTCTCATAAATTTATGGCTTTAATCTCAAAGTTTCTATTATTTTTATTTTAGTTTTTTTTGTGGCCCTAATACTACGTCAAAGTCCCTGATTTTGCCTTACGATGAAGTTGTTTGCCCTTATAGGGAGGCTACAGCCCTGAAAATGGCAGCGTGTTCAATTCTGATCTGCAGCTCCGGTGATGTTATCCATTAAAATTTTAAGCCAAACAACATCACCACACA